GCGGCGCTGCCCCACCCGAGTCCGCTTCCCTGCCGAGGGGGAGGACTAGGAGGAGGATTTTTTCCTCTGCAATCCCAGAGGGCAGGACCGATGCCAATGACTTAGCGGCCGCGACTGCGGCTTCGAGAAACATCTCGAGGGGCTGCTGCCCTTGCAGCAGCCTCCCGTGCCTGAATACGTGCCACGAGAGCGAGCATGCCTGGCGTCTGAGGCAGGGACTCCATCCCGCGCAGAGGCTGACGAATGTCAGGCGGCGGCGGCAGAGTCGCCGCGCACTGCAAGTAGGCCGCTCCACGGCGGCTCGACACACTGAGACGAGAACCCTCCTCCCTATAATGAGGGCGCTGGCCTTCGAAAAAACGGCGGAGGGTAGTGGGGGCCCCCGCTAGCTTGCGCAGCGGACAGTCGCGGCCTAAAAGGTAACACCTCTTGGCCGTGTAGGCCCCGCAAGTAGTGCAGAAAAACATTGTAGACTCGACCTCGTTTTTGGTCACACGCGCATGCGCTGACGTGTGGCCTTTACTGAAGTCGAGGACCCCCCGCCAGGTTTTGCTCGGACCAGGGCAGCCGATCATGGGTCTGGTGGTGGGGTCTTTCCAAAAAGTTAGACATCTCAAACAGCGCGCTCGTCCTGCCTCTAGGGGTTCCCAAGCGTGCCAGCCCCCCGATTTGAGGAAGCGCGCGCGAAGGCCCGAAGGAGAGCGATCAAACTGTTCGACCTCGAGAACACACAGAACTTTGGCCAACACTCTGGCGGAAAACTTCAGCTTGACTAAATTCGAATCGATGATGTCCGAATTCATGTTCGAGGGTCGGGGGTGGAGAGAGAGGGCGTGCTTGGCGAGCGAGTCTGCGAGACTGTTGCCAACGGCGATCCTCTTGTCCACGGGCGAGAGCGAATCGATAACCTCTTTCGACCGATGCGCTGGTGTGTGCTGCACGACAATGTCGTGATCACGTTTTTCATGAAGCAGGGCCCCTCGTCGCATTCCTGCGCACCGGTGCTTGGCCGACGTCTGGTGCGTCGGGCTGGAGAGGCAGAGCTTGACCACAGTCATGCAATCGCTGATTCGTGTACCCGTGTACTCTACATAGATGGGCAGGCAGGCCATGGCTCGGTGCTCGGCTGCCTGCGGCGTCTGGGGAAGAACGTCCCACACAGTTCCTTTAGCGTGGGCCACAATGGTTTCACCTGGACCCAAGAACACCCAGGCGTAGGAAGCACGACTAAGTTCGCGCACAGAGTGACGGAGACAGGATCCGTCCATGCACACTTCGCACCCTCGCAAATCGACGGATCCCCACGCGATCTCGGCCCCCTCGGCCGAGTAGAGGGTGGGGGCGGGGTTGTTAGACGGAGGAGGGTGGGGGGTTTCGGGGTGTTCGAGTTTTAGCTCATCCCATAAAAACCGATCTTCACTTTCCAGGGCCTCCTGTAACAGCTCTAGCTGTTCTCCAACAGCTTCGGCACGAGCAGCCCGTGCAGTCTCGTGCTGACAAAGCCACCCGCGGTGCCTGATGCTGTCGACCTCACCGCATAAGGGGCATCTACCGTCGCTCTGGTATCCTGCGGCGCGAGCTCGCGCGCGGGTCCAGACTCCACTGCAAAAGACTGAGCTGGCGAGGTATTTTCCCGAACGCTCAAAACCTTGGACTTGGGCCCCAGGAGTTTTTGCCAGGGGTCAAGGGTCACGCGGGAACCAGGGAAGTTCGGGAGCTCCGAAGCCAGCTTCCGTTCAAAACTACGCTGAGTGGCCAACCTAAGCAAATGACTCACCATGCTAGGGGAGTTAAATCCGAGGTGCACTTCGCGACCGTAGTCGTCCTCCCAAGTGAGGGCAGAAGTGGCGCACCAGCCAACGCGAAACAGACACAGATGCATTCTCTGGATGGGCCCCCTCGAACTCTTCCAAGACACATCTTGGTCGAAAGGCACTCGACACCACATCTGACAAACTTCCTTGACCGAGTAGTGGGAGGTCGAGGGAGAAGTGATGGCCGTCCAAACGATAGTGGCCCAATGCACCGCTGGGGCCACGCTCGCGCGATCGACGGGGTCCCCGTGCAAGGCAAGTTTGGCCGTGAGGGAGCAACCGCGGTGGTAGGGAGGTTTGTAGGAGAGGAAGACGCGTCTGGCCTGTGACAATTCCCAGTCGCTCAAACCTACAACAGCCGAGCCGAAAGTAGCAGCAGGAGCAACGCCTGCAACATAAATCTTACCAATGCGTCCCTTCTGTCGTGGAAGTCGGCCCCTCATTTTCTGCAACTTCTCATGACGCTTGAACATGGAATCGAAACGAGATCGGCGTTTCCAAAGGGATTACGAGCCGACCTCACCTGACCAGGGGCAAGATCGGTGCCAAGAGACACGGTACTGTTCGTGACAAGGCTGGCCTTCTGGCCGAGAAGGGTGCCGAGCTTTCTGGCCAGCGAAAGGGAACTTCCGAACGTAGTTAATCTATCCGCCTGGAGGCCGACCTTTAAACTGTCGCGGAAGATAACATACATGTGCGCACAAGCCTGGACCATACGACTGAGAGCCTCCTGTTCCGTATCCGCCTGCGTCGTCAGAGCGTCGTCGTCGACGTAGGAGGAGAGAGGGGCGAGGGGGTTGG